GCTGATGAAGATTTTCCAAATGGATGGACGAGTCTACCTTATTAGAAGATGCATCAGCCACAGAGGTATCAATGTTTATATGTGTTTGAATTGTTGACATTTTAACCATAGTGCTGTTGTTTGGATTTGTGTCAACGGCATTATGATGGAAATGTTGTCATTTTGAACAAATGAGCGACAAAAGAAAAACCAATTCCTCACCATTGGAAGGAGTTTCAAGAGAAACAAGTACCTACTTATATTATAGTCTTGAAGGAGGAAGTTTATCATTTTCAATATTTAATGAACACGACACCGCCACAATCAAAAGTATGTATCGATAACAGACACTATTCAAGGATGTTTCCACAAGTTCTGCATGTACTGCCACGAGATTTAATGGTTGTTAATCAATAACAGCCTATATTGAATCGATAAAAGTGGCTAGTTACGTAATAAACTTCAAGGGAAAATTTATCAGCCAGCCGACTGTAAGTATAGGTTCATTCTGGTTCATCGAATCTCATCCCTTTATTGTATGTTCAATTATTTTGTGATGTAGGTACCTATATCAGTGAGCAAAACGATTTTGATCTGATAAGAGAACATATAAAGGTGTATGCCTTGACAAAATCGGAGGTGTATAGGAGGCTGATAGGATCTGAAGGAAATACAGCACTCTTGCATAACTGGAGAATTGTGACAGTTCTAGAAAAGTACCATGTCTCGTAGCATAGTAGGAAACGCACTAAATATGATTCACTGGACAAGAAGTTATGTACTCAACACTTTATAGTAGACGTGAAAAGTGAAGTTCTACGTGTTAACTTCGTGACCGGCCGTACAGATCTGTCTATAATCCGGTCACTTTTTCATTGAAATTTTTTGCCGGATCAAATCCAGCGTACAATGAAAGGAAAAAGAGGAATATATAGATATAGGAATTGTCATGGAAAGGAAAAGGATGAAGCAAATACATGTAAAGGCATAAATGAGCGAATTTTTGAATATAAATGTTTTTAGACAATAATAAGGCAACTCTTATTAGAAAGGTGCAATTAATGATCCCTAATTAATTACTTCAATTAGAAGTTAGATTAACTCCACTAGTAAGAGATAATAAAAAAAGATTCCAATACAGCAAAAATATTCGTTCTCTCAAAACAACGAAGAAAATATACAAATAAAAAAGGAAATAGATACATTAAGTGAAGACGGAGCAAAAAGTCTGCTCTATTTCCTTCCAATGAAGCTGGTTGATGTGATATCGACAATCCACATTCACATTTTTGATATATTATATATGCACGCGGTTGTTTTTTCAGCTTGGTGCCATGTTCAGATGATACGAAAACAAAAATATAACGCAGTCATTTATTAGTCTGATCTCGAACAATCATCTCCCCTTCGAAAATTAGGGTGAGCTATCTACAACACGCTGTTTAAATGTGTTTCCAGTCGCATCATTTGTCTGTAGAGACCGTTTCATTTTTCAGCTGTCTAGTTCATATATAGTTGTGTTACCTATACATATAAAAGGGTTTCTCTCAGTTTGTGGATTACATTGGACATTGGATTAGAAAGAGTATGCAGATTGTGACGTATGTGTTGGTTGACTAGATTATGGAATTGATGAACTATATATATATAGATATGAATACTTTTTTGTTCACACATTTTGTAAAAATATTCTCATGATATGATAACTTTTATAATTATCAGCTGAGTATACTTTTTTATGTATCGTCAATAATTTCATCATATTATGCCCTAAACATGTTTCTCTAACCCATAATTTGGATTAATATACTTTGTGTAGATGACTGTGTTTTACTACTAGTACTCGCCTTACTTGTACTTGTGTTTTCATGTTTTCGATCGATTGGAAATGGTTTTTCACTATTATTTGTGATTCTTGGGATGTTTATTTATTATAGCATTCCATTACATTGTGCTGTTGTACAATGCACAAAAAATGCAGCGAGAGACGAAGTAATATAGTTATTTTTGTATCTAGAGCGCGAAATGCTACTTTGGTGATCGAGATCTGATTTTTTTAACGAGGCGTAGCCGAGTTAAAAAAATAGTCGAGATGACCAAAGTATTTCGCGCTCGAGTTGCAAACAACATTTTTTCTACAAACGTCAAAAAATATAGTTCTAAAGTAAAAATATGCTTAGCTTGATATAAAAAATGGTGTTGAACTGGCTTAGAAGGCCTCCCCTATCCTCCCTAGGTAGGCACGATGTTCCACGAACATAATAGAAATTTCCTTTCGTACGCTCCAAGAGATAAAACGATGTTATTGTTGAACATTCAGAAATAAATGATTTTTTGGATGTTTTCTCGATCAAGGACCATTTAGTTGAAATATAAATATTTCATATATTTTCCATAACAATGCGCGAAGTAGGTACTTCGCGCACTGTTTTACTTCGCACATTGTTTGGTGCAAGATATCATGGTAACATAGGAAACTGAATAAAAGTGTCACTTCGCAATTTGCTATCAATGCGCGAACCTTGTCATTTTTTGACGTTTGTAGAAAAAAGATTTTTTAGGTTAATTGTGATCTGTGAGTAGTGTAGTCACTCACATAGTTTTCATTTTGAAATTTTATCACATCTATTTAGAATTTCCTTCTGTAATAGGAGCTAATAGAGTGAAAATGTCTACACATACACGACCATAATAGTCATTCTGTCATTTCTCTTTAGAATCACTCAAATGTCATCAACAAGCACACTCGACCAATCCAACCTTTTTGTTTTTTTCAAACGTTTACAAGTCGTTTTATTAGCTCCTATTGCAGAGGGTATTCTAACTGTGAGTAACTAGATGCAGTACTTATAGATCAGAATTTACCTGAGAACTCTTTATTTCTTCGTCTCTCGCTGCTTTTTTTGTGCATTGTACAACAGTACAGTATGTGATGACATGATGCTTGAATAAATAAATATTCCAAGAAACACGATTCTATGCCAAAATAATTGTGAAAAACAATTTCAACAAATAAAAAAAGTGAGGTTAGTAGGATTGTTTTGCCTCCAGGGTCGGTCATCTGACATTTTGTGCACTCGACCTATAGTGTGGCATAACCTTTATGACATAGTTGTGATAATATTATTATTTCTCTCATTTATTTCTCTGAGTGCATTTTGTGAACAATGGTGTTCGAGATGTAGATATATACGTTGAGAATTAAATTTCTTTCGCAGTGTCACATCAATACCTACATATTTAAATCAATACACTTTTGTATACCATAGCCCTAAAGAATCCCCTAAACATGGGTTCAATGTATAGGTCAATTCATCTGAAAACATAATGTGATTCACAAAAGCTTATTTCCAGAATGAAGCAAGAGTATTATATGGTACAATTTATCGATATCAACCTTTTGAACCACTTCAGTATACTTAAAAAAACTGATGAAGGAATTCTCGACTTCGTCCACGGTAGTGCCTTATATTTCGTCGGTTCTTGGTGACATACCATCGGAGTAGGAATTTTGAGATAAGGGGTTAACGTATGGCCAAGACCAGAAGAACAGATAAGGATGGTGATGATCGTCGTATTTCTCACGCTCCCTCTACCTCTTTGTTCCTGGTTCATCATTTTTGGAGTTGAGCTTTTCGCAATTAAGATTTAGATAGTGTTGAAACTCTACATTCCGTTCCTTAAAGGTATTTATCAATTCCTCAGACGAAGGTTATTTACTGGTTTTTATTGCCAAAGAAGGTTTAGATTCACTTTATTTTTACTCGCTGATGAATTGTCTTCTCAATAATGGTTCTTGCGTTAGATAGCAATAAATGAAGCGAATAATCCAAAACGAGTTGTCAAGTTTGGTATTGTTCTTTCTCACACGCTACGTTCCATGAAAGCCTATTTTACGCCCTTGATACATGAATAACTATTATATACATGTATTTTCTACATCAAACATACCTACTTGATTTTTCAGAACTTAAAAAATCAGTACCTATTTGTTCATGTAGGACTGAACTCCAAAAAATTCGAATTAATAAATAATAAAAATCCAGGAACACACTGTGTGTCATATGGGAACTGGCATTAGTATATCGGTTTGTTGTACAACCAGATCAAACCAAGTTATCATACGAACAATAACTGTAACATAAATTCATCAATGTTGACTCACTCGTGAAACATTTCGAATTGTTAAAAATTAGGCAAACAATGACACAAACAAATCCCAATAAGTTTGATGTCTCCCGAAAATCTTAGAATACTTGACACGTTCATTTTTTGTTTGAAAATAGATAAAACTGTTTGGAAAATCCGTAAAGTATGGTTGGGTGAGAACTATCTGCAAATAAGGTGGTCCCCTGTTTGACTTCGACAAACAGATGAAAGAAAGGCAAATAGAAATTTACCTTAAAAATCAATAAAGGTTGCTCAAGTATTGCGACACAAAGGTATTGAAAGGGCACTGAAAAATTAATGCTTCCTTCCAAACATATACAGGTGGGTAGAGATAATGAAATTAATAATGATAATATGGACATTATACATACATGATAATAATATAATACATATATCCATCTAGTATACAGCCAGGGCCTACTCTATCTTAGAGTAGGCCCTGATACAGCTTTATTTTTATCCATCCAACAATATTGCGGAATTATAATCGGAATTGCATCCAGGAATATCAAATTTATATACAGTCACCCCCATTGATGTGTCTACCGTCTTTCATAACAGGGATACAGGATGTTATCTTGATTTCAGCGAAATCTTCATCTGGCCATAATTTTTGAACCACTTTATATAATCTATTCATACTTAGTGGTAATACTCCACTTACACATCAGAACTGAATGGAAATCAAGATCAGAATCCAGAGCCGTCTTAAGACGGACGAGACACGAGACGATACCAATAAAAGTCTCGTCTCGTCTTGTCCGAGTCCGAAAACAAGACGAGACCATGCGAGACTCTCGAAAACGAGACTCTAGCGGGCACCATTAATTAAGTTTTTCAATCTTCTTCAGGGGCATTGCCAAAGCAGGAGAACCCAACAATCTTTCCCCCCTCAATCCTGGCGTTCTCGTAATGGACTCCTCCGTGCATGGAACGTTACGGCAAAAACAGAGGAGGCTGGCCAGAGATAATCCTGGCCTGCTGGCGGCCATATCCAAAGGAGCCAATAATGCCATACACGAGTGCCAACATCAGTTCCGCAACCAACGATGGAACTGCTCCACAAAGAATTTCTTGCGAGGAAAGAATCTCTTCGGAAAAATTGTAGATAGAGGTAAGTCTATTTCAGACCCTCTTCACGTTCCATCATTTCGCACGTTGAGAACAATAGTGTGACTACTCAAAAAAGTTGATTTTTGAGTTAGAACCACCGTCGGATAGCAAATTTTGAGTTATACACTTCTAGAGTATCATGACAACTCTAGGTCCAATAGCTACTGCGTGACAACGCTGGTCACTTTATTGCACTAGAGGAGAAGTAGGTGCTACAGCCGAGCAAGAAAGGATCTTTTGCCTTGTCAGTCTTGTCACCAAGTCTTCGCAGGATACACCTTGTATTTTGACTATGAGGATTTTTTTATGGTAGATAATGTGACAAGTCATTGAGTCACCTTATTGTTTAAACACATTTTGAAATTTTTTGAGTTGTCTTGATATTACATTTTCATCAGAAAATGAAATATTGAAATAAACGCAACAAATTTTTGAGTTGTAATGATAACAATATGGAATATTTCGATTTGTCACATTATTGCATGCCTTGCACTTAATGAAATGGATTAGGCAATACCAGCTTTTGCAGAAAAAATTAAAAAAGAGTAACAAGGAGAAGATAGCCCTCAAAAAAAGAAGAAGAAAAATGCAAAACTGGAATGAATCTTTCGAGTGTATGTTTTTTAAATATTTACCATTGCATGAAATATCAAGCTCCCAAGCAAGAAATTTTGAAGAAAATTCATATCATAATTCCTTCGGATCAAACGTTTGGAGAAATGTGTGTCAAAAAAATTCCCAAGAATAGATTGTAATGAGATCTACAAATATAATAAAAACCAAAAACATGTTATTCGGAAATTTTTTCGAGATGTTACATCTCAGAAAATTGCTGCCTTTTAGGAGTAACATCTCTTAAAGTTGTAGAATATGATAAATCAAAACTGTAAGAACTTGAAACTATTTCTTGAAAAATTCGAAAAACATTCTCGAAAATATAACCAAAACTTTCACTTGTGAGCTTATGCCATATAATACAAACCAACAGGAAATATACTTTTCGCGGTGGATGAGGTTCACCAGAGGGAAATTCATCACCTTCAAGAAGTGAAAATTTTAGAAGTCAATTTTTTCAAAACAAATAATTCTGAATGATCACACTATTGTTCTCAACGTGCGATTTGTTCATGGCTCACAGTTTTGATGGAGACAAAGTTCATCAAAACATAACTATATACATATAATAAATAGACTGTCCCTGAGAGGACTTTACAGAAACATACCACATATTCCACAGACAAAAACAATTAGATTCAAGGCATACTTATCACCTCATTATGAAGTTGCTAATTTTGATGAGTGCTATAGATCGTTCCTTGTGGCAATGAAAGCCAAATCCATATTAATCCATGGGCACATGGAACTTACTTTTTTCAGAAGAATATTTGAAATTTCTTCGTCACTGAAAAGCAATATTACGTCAACTACTAAACGGCTTAACCGAGTTTCAATACGTAAAACAAGAAAAAAAAACGAACGATAGGTACTGGAAGAATGAGAATTGGTGTAAGTATTCAATAGTAGCTATAGATAAACACAAAAACATTTAAAAAATAACACTGGGAATAGTAATAACTTTGGATTTTCAAATAGAACACCCATTATATCATTGCATTTCCGAATTCTGTATCATTTTCTGAATCCAATGATACCAGATAAGTGACACTTCAAACTTCAATAATGATATCAATGTCATTTTTGATCTTCCATCTGAGTATGTTATGACTATACTATTATACTCATATCAACAGGTGTAATGCTGATAAAAATTAATTCTGTCAAAAATGTCCAATTCCTTGATTCATCACCTAAGTAGATTCACCAAGATGATTTGGTGTACCATGTTAATGTTAAACCCGGTATAGTCAATATTTCATGATAATTTCGGAACATTCTTAATAAGGGAAAGGACGAATTATTTATATATAGTATAGTCAATATTTCATGCTAATTTCGGGACATTCTTAATAAGGGGAAGGACGAATTATTTATGATTTGATTGAGCTTCGGTATCAGACCAATCGTGTTCGTTGAAGTGTGAAACTCCTGTCAAATTGCTCATAAATATTTTTAATTCATTCATCATCCAGCCAAGTGCACACCAAATTGGAACTGACACCTCTCCGTGTACCGAAATCTACTACCAGACCCAGAATGCGGTGACTGATCATTGATTAAAGACTCAAATTACCGATCAATTGGGGACTAATAGCCTGTGCTTATGGAATCTCTATCAGGTAGAAATAACAAATAGCTCCTTTAGTTTTGTAGATCGTGAGATAAGGTTCTACCCGAAATATCACTTTGCTTTTTTCGATCCCAGTTTACCTGATTCGGTTTCTACTAAATCGGTTCGATATCGTTACTGTCGCTGGAATTATTTTAATCGCCATTTGACAAATTGATCTCTCCGACTGGATCAGATTATCGTATTAATAGACCATTTGAAAAATTAGAATAACTTGTTTTCGAATTCTGCCTTAATTTCATCGATCCATAATTGACTATCACTCAAATTTATACCACGATTCTCTCCCACAATATCATGGAAGTACATAAATTAAATGTAAAGCTGAGTTTTTATACAAAATCCAATGCACTTCAATCTTCAGTTCCTCCCTCGATGTCAAAACTTTGGTACTGGTTATTTTTATTCGCTCTGATGGTGGTATTCATATTACTATATACCGGATGATTTAAGACTATCCTCCCTCGATATCTCTCAGAATTATTATTTTACAGAAAAATGTCGAAACATGTCGATTTTCATATGGAGGGCGACACCTTTTGACGCAAAATAAATGATCCACTCTTGAACCCTCTACCCCCCAGAGCAACCCCCTCAATAATTTGAATATAGGGAATATAAGGGTCGTGTTATACACCATTGCGAACGTAATTCAATTCTGAAACCAGCAGTGGAAAGTATTTTGAATTCCAACAACTCGTTCCCGAGATATTCGAGTTCGAATGGTTTGTTTTCAAATTGTGAGTAAATGAATTTGAATAATAGATTATTGAACAGGTTATCACAAAAGATGTTCAAAATGACCTCCATTGACTCCCACACAGTGGTAGAGTCTATTTGAAAATTCCTCTTTTACGTTTGAGAATGTTTCTCTTGATATTGCCTGGTATTCAGTTCTTATTCTTCTCTCCAAATCATCGAGGTCAGTAGGTTCCGTTTTATAAATTACCGATTTTGAATGACCCCATAGGAAGAAATCATTGGGTGCCAAGTCCGGCAGACGTGCTGTCCATTCTATTGGTCCTCTACGGACCTCTATGATGATGGTAATCGAACTCTATTGGCAGATAATATTTATTTTCAACAAGATAATGTGTCACCTCATTTCGTGTCATAGGTGAGAGAATGGCTACCCCAAAATTTCCATAACAAATAGATAGGTCGTGAAGGACCATTCAAATGGCCAACACGCTCGCCGGACATGGCACCCAATGAATTTTTTTGCTGAGGTCATCCAAAGTCCGTTATTTATAAAACGGAATTTACTATGATCTGGACGATAGGTTGAGAAGAATTAGGGTTGAATGCCAGGAAATAACCACAGAAACATTTCAAATGTGCAAAAGAAATTCACAAATAAATTAGAATAGAACATTTGTTGTGGATAACCATTCAACAATTCATTCCGTACATTCAATAACTCGGAAAACATGCCATTTGAACTCGAATATCTCGAGAACGACTTGTTGTATAAGGCGACCCTTATTCCCCATTCGAATTATTGAGGGGGTTGGTCTGGGGAGCAGAAGGTTGAAGTATGGATTATTTATTTCGCGTCAAAATGTGTGTCCCCTCCCATATAAAAATTTACCCGTTCCGGCATTTTTTTGTAAAATAATAATTCTGGGAGATATCGAGGGTGGATAGTCTTGAATGGACCACTCGGTATAAGTACTGTGTATTATTATTCAGAACCCCGACGGAGTTTAATGTTAAATGTCAAGAAAATTGATATTTTTTGGTCGATGGTATAAAAAAGAAGTCAATGTCGTGTGCTTTTTTTGAGAAAAATACTTTTTATCCAAAGGAACATGTATAGGCATCCAGCACCATTGTTATACATATATATGATCATTCACATACAATGCTATTGCCATTTTTAAGCAGCGCCTATTTTTTCTAGCTCCTGGGGTAGGTACACCTACTTACACCTATTCATCCGTGTTCATAATATTTTTGTCTTGAAAATGATCAGTTCTTCTGCAATATCAATAAGCTTCCTGTTGCACAATATCGCTGCCAATTTAATGAACATCCAACGCACCCTTTTCATTCTTCTTTGAAGCGTTTTGAGTACCCCGACATCCCAGCTAATAAGGATGAAGAGTTTTTTATGACTATTAACATTTTCGTCATTTGTCAAAGCAAAGGGTCGGGATGAATGCCGTGTATGTCCAGATGTTAGCCAGCCAAACAACTATATTCTTTGTTAGTGGACATGTAAATTATATGAGGACCCAATTATTCATTGTGAATGACATGTCGGACAAGGGCATTGACAAATAAATACTCGGTTATGCATGGTCCTTGAGTAGTGGATTCTAATAGGGGGTATCAAAATGCAATTCGCCTCAGGATGATTCGGGATCTGATGAAAATCGTAATTTTGATGATATTATATACAGGGTGAATTCCGAAGAGAATGAATGAACGAACTACTTCCACGTAGGAAGGAGCTACCACTAGCAAGGCGTTGAAGGATATAGGGAGATTTTTCAATGATATCATGGAAAGTATATGTCAGAATTTTTTTCAGTTCGAACCATATATTTTTCTGTTCGGGCTTTATTTGATTAAAATTCTTCATAATTACAATAAAGGAGAATGCACAGTGCCAACGTCAAATGAGGATGAATAAATTCTTAAACTGCAACTCGACTTTCACGGATTGAAGGAAAATTCATCCATCAAGGAAAAAACATATTATCATAATCAACAAGAGAAAACTCTAAAGTTAAGTTAAGTTTTGATAT